CATTCGTTCATCCGTGAATCCGTTCATCCATGTGACCATCGATGCATCCATTCGTTCGTCCGTGCGTCCCTCCATGCGTCCGTCCATACGTCCGTTGTTCCTTCTCTCCATCCGTCCGCGCGGCCGTCCCTCTGTCTGTCTGTCTGTCTGTCCATCCATCCATCCATCGATCCGTCCATCCATCCATGTATCCATCCATCCATCCATCCATCCATCCATCCATCCATCCGTCCGTCCGTCCGTGCATTCGCCCCTCTGTCTTTCTGCGCGTCCGTCCGTTCGTACGTCTATCTGTATGTCTATCCGTCCGTCCATCTAGAGAACCCTCCAAGTACAGATATCTTACATCTTTTCATCATGTATTCATCTTATGCAAGTGCCGCCATCCAGCGGACATTGTAAGGACCGCTCTTTCGGGTATGTGCCACCGGTGGCCACATACATTATCGGAGTAAAGACAGACCCACATCCTAAGGAGCTTCGACCCTAAAAGAGTAATGACATGACGCTAAGCAAAGCTGGGTGCATATTGTTTTCGGTGTAGTATAGTAGCCGCTCCTAATTTTTTTCGTTAATGACAAGTAATTAATCATAACTATGTTTGTAACTGAAAAAGTACTCGCCTTATTATCAAAATGCCAATGAGGCAGATGTGCGTGAGGTCCCTAGATGAAGCTTTTTTTTATCATGGGGACCTTAGATGTGCGCATGTTGAAAGGACGTCTGTCTGCGCTACTTTCAACAACGCACTAATGGGTGCTCATATCTTCCTGTTAATAAAGAAAGCCCGCGAAATTCGAAAAATCACACGTCACAATACCGCTGCGCGCCTTGCGAAGAGGTGCCCTCAAACGAGCTCGATTCGAGATAGCCTGTAGCAATGAAGGCAATGTAGAAAAAAAAAAGAACAAAGTACGGATCGCGATATATCCACCACTTCCCCCGTTCGAAGAAAAGCACCACCTCGATCTCACACAGTCAGGCTGCAATCGCTCGTTCTCATCGCTCGAATGAGAACAGTGATCTAGTGGCGTTATCAATGAGAACAGTTGACCGTGAGATGCGGATGGTGATAGCGACGCGCATTCAAGCGGAAGGAATCCCTGCAAAACTTCGGCACATGTTGGCACCCGACCTGCACCCTTGCCATTGTGCAAAGCGCTGGCTGTGGCAGCGGAAAAGAGGCAAAGTGGTTGCCTGAAGTAAGATTACTTGAGGGCGCTGCTTTCCTTTGCGTGTGTGAGCACAGTCACGTGTTAATTTTCATATTTCGCGGGCTTTCTCTGCTCAGAAGAAAAAAAAAATTAGCAGGCAAATAATACGTTATAAGAAGTAGCACAGACAAATGTCATTTCAGCATGTGTATATCTTAGTGATTGACATTTTGATCAAACTAGTCGTGTACTTTTTAAAATTCGCAAATATCTTTAGGCTAACTAGGTTATAGTAATTAACGATAAATGAGTAGCAGCTATTTCAGTGTGCTGGGAATTATTTGCAATACGTTTGCTTCACGTACCGGCGTTCCTATATTTTTCTTAAATTGTGCTGCGTAATGACTGGAACTACCCGTATAAAGATACAAAAAGAATAACAAATCTGAAGAAAAAAATTCGAAGCACAAGCAAAACCTTGCTCCGCAGAGCGCTGTCTTATAGACCACTCGACCACGCAACATTATTTGTTTACGGTATTTAATAAAGATTATTAGAACGCATTCAGCAACCTAATAATTGCAAGCTATATATACACACTATTTACCGACAACACTACGCAGGTAACGGGGGAGCTTCAGCGTGTTTCAAATCACGCGCTTCTCAATGCATATTCTTTCAATTCGAAGGCTGCCCATTGGACGCGCACAATACTGTGACCTCTTTCTGTAAGCACTCGACATCTGTAACTAAAGAAAGCAACAAAAAAAAACATGGCTGATTCGTCTCTCATAGACATCCATCTAATACGAAAGTGAAACGTGACCTAAAAGAAGTTGATGAGAGTTTATTGCGCATTGTTTTGTCACTAAGACGAAGAAATGAATGCGATAGCAAAAGATTGTGACGTCACAAGACGAAGGCGCTGCTCAATCAAAAAAAAAACGCGCGGGAAGAACATACACAGTATGAGCACAAACTACATAACTGTTGTTACAGCTCGACACTTAAAGCGAGCTGCTCAAACACAAAGAAGGATGCACGAAACGAACGCGCCAAAATACACAGGACGAGCGGGCGAAGTATAAAGTGTCACAGTCGTACTTCTTTAAGTAGTTACAACTAAAAGAAGTTGTAACTACTTCTTTCAGTTGTAACGAACAGACGGACGAACGCTTCGCCCAACTCACCATCATGCACTCCGTGGATATACTGTGATATTTGAAGTTTGAAGCTTGAAGTTTATTTTATTTCTTTCTGATACAGAAAGAGTAGTAAGAGCTAAAGGCCGTATTGCCTGACAGAGGCTCCTACTCCCATGCGCATTCGGCATGCGTGTACATGTTTGCATGCGATGCGAGTATACAAAGAATTGAGCAACCAGAAAAATCAAAACATGCATGTACATAATTGTCACTGCAAATAAAGCATTACAGGTAGACATCATACATGAAAACTCTTCATGAAAACAAACGTATCATACAGACACTCCAAGAATATATACCTATACGCATTAAATTGTGAACTTTCAAATTGTAGCACAAACTGTATATGCGGTACACGTAGAAAATTAGACAGATATATTTTATTGATAAGTTATCGTAGAATGTAACAGAAAGTTCTTTACAAATTTTTTGAGGCGGGGTGCATGAGCATCTAGATGATGTTCAACAATATTCAATAGCCGGGGTACTTGATACTCAAGGTCCTGACGCCCGCAGTTTGCTTATATAAGTGGTGGCATTCTCGTTTGGTGGCGTAATTGATATCGAGGGGGAGAAACGGGCAGGCTACTAACATGGAGCCTGCGCTTTTTTTATGTGCAAAAGTAATCTGTAATAGTAGATTTGATTTGCTCTGATTTCCCGTTGCATGCCCCGCCGCGGTGGTCTAGTGGCTAAGACGCTGGGCCGCTGACCTGCAGGTGAAATCCCGGCTGCGGCGGCTGCATTTTCGATGGAGGCCGAAATGCTGTAGGCTCGTGTGCTCAGATTTGGGTGCACGAAATGAACCCCGGGAGGTCGGAATTTCTGGAGCCCTCCACTACGGTGCATCTCATATTCATAGGGGATAGTTTGGGGAAGTTAAATCCCAGATATTAATGAATGAAGTATTTCATCTCAAAAACAATAACGATCCCATGACGCCCCTTTTGTGCGCATAGTACACAACAAGTACATAATAAAAAAAATGTGGATCAGACGTTTTGCGTTCCTGCAATCAATTTTTGTTAATGACATTCCCTACACTTCCGAATCACCTCAGCAAGATCAGATATATACTAAAGCTCAAGCACCAGCAGATACACAGGCAGATTGAAAAGCGACATATCTGTTTCACTTTAAATTTTTCTACTTGGACTGTACCAGATCGTCCCTCGTCTGTGAACTCGGGCACAAGAAGAAAAGCCATACAAGGTTTCATTGTCACATCCTCCGGCAACAAAATCACCGGCAGACAACCAATGATATCAGAGAGCACATCGAGCAGGTACTATCTGTTACACGAAACGCCGCATCAGATGAAATCGTGAAACAAGGCAGAAGGCACAGCGCTTTGCGTAAAGAAGCGACCGTCGTACTTACAAACGCGTGTTTCCTCGGCTTTGCTGAAAGCGCAAGGCCTTCAATGCTCGGCTTAGGCTGCATGCTTTTGTTTCAACATGTAGATCTGTCCCATGAAAAGGGGGGGGGGGGCGCAGCTATCTGCACACGGCGCCAACCCCAATCAAACAGTGCATAACAATATCGACCAACGCACCACGCACGTAAGCGTAACCTCGCGCCCTTTTCTGCCGCCGCGCGATAAGGAACGACCTCCGAAGAGTTTAATTTCTAGCTGTGCTCCCGCCATCTTATGAAAGGATTTACAAGGGTCGGGGAGGGGGGCGCAAAAATGCGGAGTTGCGGAGGGAGGGTGCTTTTGTTTCTCTTTAGGCAATAGGGCATGATATCAAAGCCTTGTTATAGTTATTAGCTGGCACTGCCTAACTCGGCTCCCGGATCGCGCTTGCAGATTCACCGGCAACCGTTACCTCTTTCTGCTTATCGTCAAGCGCCATCTAGTCACCCCTTCATGCCCTCTCAAAGACGAAGTCAATCCCGGAGTCGTGCTTTACGGTTGCACAAGCGTCTCGCTTGCAGCCGCTAGGCTTTCAAATTATATTGTACTTGTTCATTTATTTCTACAGGAAAGACGCATACTCAAGTATCTGGACGTGGTAGCAAGTTTTCAAGCGCCACTAGGAGCAACAACGGATTGCATAGGGTGAGGTGGAGACTGCTTGGGAAGGAGATCTGGCAGGCGAACGGGCGTATCTGTATGTGAGAGATGGGTTCGTTGATATACAGCGGAAGGAGACAAAGGCCTTTTGCCGGCGAGAAGGGTGCAGGATGTAGCGGGACGCGACATCCGCAACCATATGACGCTTCGTAATGGAACAGTATCCCACCTAACTTGTCTGCAGTGCTCATTTAGCGAGGAGGGGGGCGAGGTCGGTATGTTAAGCAGATGACAGAGCCAGAGAGAGAGAGAGGATTACAGAGACGCTGTCTAGGATGGACGACGAAGTAGTACTTTAAGAAATTTCCACGGACGCCTTTATCTTCAGGTCGATGATTATACAATGCGGGCAAGCAAGCAAGGTGACGATGTTCCTTTCCACTTGCACTTTGTCTGCGACGTCCTCTTCGTCTGTCGCGCGTTGTTTTCGATTTCTTTTTTTGTTTTATTTTACAGAAGGTGGAAAGCGAAAGTGTGCCGTCTCCTCGACGTAGAAGTCGCCGTACGGTGCGCTTCGACGCGACCGATCTTGGGCCGATGGCGAGCGCGACGGGTATAAAAGTCGACGAAGCGGCTCGGCTGATCTCAAGACGCTCCGCGAGCTCTCTAAACAAGAACTCCCTTCAAGTCAACAAGCACCAGCGTAGCACAGGAGTGAAAAGAAGATCACAGCCGTGGTTAGTGGAGCAAGCGAGCCGTCGACATGGGAGTCCTCGTAAGTATGCTGCCGGTGGGACCGTGGTGCGTGGCCTCGGTGATTGACGGCACGCTGCCGGAGGTAATCGCTGAGGACGTGGGCGGTGGGACGGTGCCCCTTCATCCTGGACTGTAGGGGGGCTCTGACGCGTGCAACACTGGTGGATACGACGACGACAGCGGTATACGATTCGCGGCGGAAGCTCACGAAACAACGCGGCGCGCCTCCATGGATTATTAATACGGGGTGTATGCTTCCGAACTGCTGTAAGGTATCGCATTGGGTATTTTTGGACGCGCTTGATAAAGACCGACCCAGTGAGGCACGTAGCGAACCACAGACGATATTTTTTCTAAGGCTTTCACTTGTTGTTTCTCTTTGACAATGTCTTCATCAAACGCGTCAGTGAATGCAGCATACTCGCCGAACGACATTCAGTCTACAGTCCCAGGAGGCGGACTAAGCAGGTTGTCCAACATCGCGGTGAAGGAAAGCACAGGAATCCAAGATTAAGGAACGTTAGATCAGCGTTAGAACATTTTTCCAGTGTTTAGACTGCTGTTTAAAGAGTGAGTGATGGGGCTACTCCAGCGTCTGCAAAACTATGGTGTACGTTGTAGTTGCCTGATCTAGAGATGGCCCAGTGGCACTTCGTGGTTTCCCCTCTCCTGCGTGGTCAGCGTTAAATGCTTTCATACAGAACGTCGAAAGCTCTCTGACAGTACGAGAGAGATAGAGAGAGGGCTTTCATTTACGAAAAGAAAAGCTGCGCTTCGAAATGATAGAACTACCAGGATTTTTCTCTCTAGGCGCAACCGTAAGGACCAAAAAGCAAAACTCGGAAAAGAGCCGTATGTTTAAATTTTGCTTTTCCCTGTGGCTGTTAACGCTATGTGTGGGGTCAGCTCTTAGATGAGATACATAACTGAACTTTTGCCTACCAGACCAGAGACGTGCCTGAAAAATGCTTTGTCTTCCCGAGTGATCAGCAGTTCTGTGTGAATGAACTAACACACTATTTGAACAACGTTCCGTCTGTAAGCTTCGTAAGATTTGCAGTATACATGGATTGCCGGCATCACGAGGTGTAATGGAGGGGCGGGGGGGGGGGGTGTTTTTGTGGGAACGACGAATGATTTCTTACCATCACGTTGTCTATACTTGTCAAAATAGTTTGGTAGAAAAACTTGAACCGGGCACTTTGGTTGGGACGTCCAGCGTGGTAAGATTGCATATAAAGGAAGGCATGCTATCCGGCCAGTCTGTGTGCTTTGGGCGACATATCAGGAAATGCGCGTACAAATAGGAACTTTTAGTTGAAAACACCCTGAAAAAGAGTGAAAAATACAGAAAGTCTTTAGCGTTTTGCTAGCACGTGTTGAATAGAAACATTAAGCTAGTGTTTTGAGCGATGTAGCTCAGTACATTTCGAAATCGGCATTAGCTCGTTGAATTTCTTCAATGACTGGACCAAGCAATATGTATGGAGTTTCGTGAAGTGCAACCAGCCCTATTACATACATGAAACGATGGGGTATGCATAGAACACGCGCAAATTATCTCACAAGTGGTGTAATAGATGCACGATTATTAATGGATGCCTAAACGGTTGCTTAGCCCATTAGAAGGTTCCTCATGTCATTCCAGCCATTACAGACGTCTCCTTAAACTCTCACAAATAGATGTGGCAAATACTTGAAAAATACATGAACTCTATGTGGATACCACGAGGAAGCATACGTAGTTATAAAAATAACATGGGGAAAGTGTCGGTATTGAAATGCATTTTTCAGCAGCTAATTTGCACGACATAAGGGCTATTGTGAGTTGTGGAGTATTTCGTAGTGGTATAAGCTGGCATAAGTTGCATTTCTTGCTCGCGAGTGCAGACAAGCAGGCGTCTTTTGGTAGCACTCACCTTTGCCATTAATTATCTTCGTAGGGTGATATGCTAAAAATATGCCTTGAGAATGCGCAGTCGCCAAGTTGCGGTTAGTCTACGCATTTAGCACACCTTTTTGTCCATTGTCCAACAACTGCCATACTTAATGCTTGCGTGATAATCACCTTGTAACGAAAGAATCAACGCGCGGTGATTACTGAATAATCGGTGAGTATATGAAGTTAAGATAGCTGGTTATTCCAGACAAAAGAAAGTTTGAAGCTGCACTAGTAGCATTACAAAAGAACACTTTAAGTGAGACGCTCCGGAGTTAAGATTATAAAAAATTCCATATCTCTGAAACCTTGCGAGTCGAAGACCACCTTTTTTTTTATGAAATGTCGAAGGTGACACGGTTCGGACAAAGTTTTAACTCTCCTTTACTGCCCCAGAAAGCACATGTTGGCGTTTTTTGAAATTCGGCGTAGGAGAGAGCTTAACCTGGTTCAGTTTATTTAACTCAAAAATTCCGCTTTTAACATCAATGCTAGAATAAGCACCACGTCCGCACAAAATGAAGAGCTGAAAATGAAATTACCCTCACCAAGTCATTCTGGAAAAGTAGAGAGATAATGAAAGCAGTTCCTTCTTTTATTTGAATAGTGCAGGGGCACGGGTGGCTCGCATTTATCACTTTCACAATAAGGGTTCGTGATAAATTGGCTCTCATGAGATAAAAACGAAACAAAAGTCATTTGGGTAGGTCGGTAGACGTTTCTGAACATTGGACGCAGCCAAGGAAATAATAGTCAGTTGAGACAGGCGGCACACAATTCTCAAGAATGCGCACCAACTGACCTGACTGATATGTGGGGTTTAACGTCCCAAACTGACCTTATTCCCCAACTCTACAGTATTGGGTTTCTCCTTCTAAGCGCAATTTATTAAGCCCAAAGACAGCCGTAGAACGTCTGCAATTTTTAACGCAGCCCATAATATGATCACAAAGCTGAAAAAAGGCTTAAATTGACAATTGCTTAAAAGGCAAACCATAGTAGACTAGCTGGATTGGTTCCAACGGCTTCGACTAAGCAAGGGGCGACCGATTCGAAAAGTTAATACTGCGCAGTATAAAAAAAAAAGAACTTCGTGTCTTGAAAAGACATCAATACTCCACTTGTGTTGATTTTAATTCATGCTGACAGTAAGACCCGCCATTTTTGTCTTCACGCCTACAGAGATGTAGAATAGATAATAACTAAACACGCGTAGGTAGATGCAAAAGTTAAAACAATTAGTCCGTGGTTGCACACTGCCGAGATTTTATTATGGCGCAGGTCCCTAAAACATTCGACGTCCACTCTGCAGTTAGCAGAGCTCACGTCAACAGGAGAGACCAAACAAGGATTGTCCCTTTTAATCTTACTTGGTTGATGACGTGACTGTACCAGTTCGAATGAAGGATGCAGATCCATATGACCGCCTAAGAATACAAGGGTAGTAGCTAGACAACCCTGACAATTCTATAAAAAAAAACCGCGCAGCCAGCGATATTCCCTGTTTCTACAAACAAATCAGTACCGGAATGGAAGTGCCCCCGCAGTCGCAATCGTCGAAAGATCTCAGTTACAAGCGTAAAGCCTTTCCGGTGGTCGACGTACGAAAATGCGCTCGGAAAAAAAATGCCCAGAAGATGTACAGTAGGTCCGAGTTCCTCGCATTATATCTTTACAATGTGACAGTGCTATGAAACCAATCAGTAATTCCCTGGCCATAGTACGTGTGCCTACAAAGCACAGATGGCGGGCATCAAACAAGAAACCGAATTCGAGGCCATTTCACGGCGCATCCGCGAATGCCCTTTTTTATCGATCTTTTCTTCAAAAGAAAGCAACCAGCTCTCTCACAGCGGACATTGTTCTTTTCTTTCTTCACCCAACCGCAGGCTGCATCAGTATTCTTGGGACTACTCTCCGTCGCCTATGGCGGTTTCCTGCATGGCGGAAGTGGCTCCGCCCTTCACGGCGGCGTCGGTGGCATCGCCGTCCACCATGCAGCACCAGCCGTGGCTGCTGCGCCAGCTGCCACCTTCGTCCAACAAGCCGCCCCAGCCGCTACTGTCGTGCACCACGCTCCTGCCGTGGCCGCAGCTCCGGCTTTCGTCGCCCCAGCAGCAACGTACACTAGGCCCGCCAGTCTGAACTTCGGCTTTGCCCAGCGCGTTGTCGCCTCGGCGCCGGCCTACACGGCAGCCGCTCCCGCTGTCAGCTACGTTCAGCACTCTGCTCCGGCCGTCACTGTCAGCCGTCCGGCCGTAAGCTACGTCCAACAAGCTGCCCCGGCAGTAGCTGTTAGCCGTCCGGCCGTAAGCTTCGTCCAGCAAGCTGCCCCGGCCATCACTGTCAGCCGCCCAGCCGTAAGCTACGTCCAACAAGCTGCCCCGGCCATCACTGTAAGCCGTCCGGCCGTAAGCTACGTCCAACAAGCTGCCCCGGCCATCACTGTAAGCCGTCCGGCTGTAAGCTACGTCCAACAAGCTGCCCCGACCATCACTGTCAGCCGTCCGGCCGTAAGCTTCGTCCAGCAAGCTGCCCCGGCAGTAGCTGTTAGCCGTCCTGCAGTCAGTTTTGCCGCTCCTGCCATCGCCTCCGCTCCGGCAGCAGTCGCCGTCCACCATGCCCCCGCAATTTCGTACCGTACAGCTGCAGTGACCGCTCCCGTGGCGTCTTATGGAGCCGGTCTCGGTTTCGGTCGCACCTTCGCCGCTGCCGCACCAGCTGTCACCGTCAGCCGTCCCGCTGTTAGCTTCGCTGCTCCAGCAGTCGCCGCCGCTCCCGCTGCCGTAACTGTCCAACAGGCTCCTGCCGTTTCTTATCGCACGGCTGCCGTCGCCGCTCCAGTTGCCACCTTCGGTGCCGGACTCGGATTCGGTCACACCTTCGCCGCAGCTGCGCCAGCTGTAGCAGTCAGCCGTCCCGCCGTGAGCTTTGCCGCGCCTGCCGTCGCCGCCGCTCCAGCAGCCGTTGCTGTCCACCACGCTCCCGCCGTTTCCTACCGTACCACTACTTCAGTCAGCGCCCCTGTTGCGACTTATGGAGCCGGTGTCGGTTTCGGACAAACCTTCGCTGCTGCTGCCCCAGCTGTTGCCGTGAGCCGTCCATCTGTAAGCTTTACTGCTCCAGCAGTCGCCGCCGCTCCAGCTGCTGTCGCCGTACACCATGCTCCAGCTGTCGCTTACCGCACTGCTGCCGTCGCCGCTCCAGTTGCCACCTTCGGTGCCGGACTCGGATTCGGTCACACCTTCGCCGCAGCTGCGCCAGCTGTCGCAGTCAGCCGTCCCGCTGTGAGCTTTGCCACACCGGCCGTCGCCGCCGCTCCAGCAGCCGTTGCTGTCCACCATGCTCCGGCCGTTGCTGCTGCTCCAGCTGTCGCCTACCGTACCGCTGCCGTCGCGGCCCCAGTTGCTACCTTTGGTGCAGGTCTCGGATTTGGTCATACCGTCGCCGCTGCTGCGCCAGCTGTAGCTTACTCCCGTCCCGCTGTAAGCTACGCTGCTCCGGCCGTTGCTGCTGCACCAGCTGCTATCACCGTGCAGCATGCTCCAGCCGTCGCCTACCGCAGTGCAGCCGTGGCCGCTCCAGTTGCCACCTTTGGAGCCGGCATCGGTTTCGGCCACACTATCGCCGCAGCTCCCACCTTCGCGTCTGCCCCAGCAGCCACTGTTGTTCATCACGCCGCCCCTGCCGTTGCAGTGAGCCGCCCCGCCATCAGCTTCGCCGCTCCAGCCGTCGCTGCCGCTCCGGCTGCCGTAGCTGTGCACCAGGCACCAGCCGTTGCATACCGCGCGGCTGCCGTTTCCGCTCCCGTCGCCACGTTCGGAGCAGGTCTTGGCTTCGGGCACAGCTACACTGGTCTTGGAGTTGCCGGTCCAGCCTACTCACGCCAGATCTCCATCTCTACTCCAGCGGTTGCCGCTGCCCCAGCCGCAGTAGCAGTCCATCACGCTGCTCCAGCAGTCGCTGTCCACCACGCTGCTCCAGCCACCGTGGCCGTTCAAGCCGCTCCGGCTGCCGTCGCCTACCGCACCGCCGCCGTTTCCGCACCTGTCGCCACCTACGGAGCTGGACTCGGCTTCGGCCACACTCTGAACGCAGCGCCTGCTGGCGTTCACTACAAGACCATTGTTGGAGGTGCCGGACTCGGCTTTGGTGCCTCTGCACCCCACGTCAAGATCATCAGCCACGTGAAGAAATAGGTTGTGATGCGTTCGAGCTCAATGAGAGGGTCTTTACCTGGGAGGTCTGGGACAACGGCAGCCACCCCTGGCAGTCATTTCAGCAACAGGCTTATTTATTGCTTACGACAGCCAACAAGCTGCCCTTGTCCGTCACCCGGCCCCAATGCAGGCAAATGGGTCTGCTGGGACGTGTTGCTCCCGCCCAACGAAAGCAAAATAAAGCGTTGTTTCGGTTAAAAAACATCATTGGTGGAGCAGGATTTTCTCTTCCGAAAGAGTCTGGATATACAGTTGATTAGGTGACCTGCAGAGCGAGCGTCTCTGTGAACAGTACTCCACGCACTCACACAAAATAGCCAGAGTTGCTTTGTCACTGCCGCAGCAGATCACGAAATTTCTGGAGGCATTATAATGTCACTTAGCCTTCACATGACATGATGTCATTTCCCGGATCTGATGGTGAAATGGAGGCCGATACGAGAGGTAGCAAAAAAGTAGGCGACCTGCTATAAGCACGCAATGTTTCCTATCCTAGAGGCAGTAAAAAAAGACTGTCGAGTACAAAAACTTCAGTGAAGGGGCGGGGATTAAGAAAAAAGAGAGATTATTTTGGCCTTCGAATTGTTTTAGGCAAGTGCATGATCCATTGATTGATTGATTGATTGATTAATTAATTATTTGATTGATAGATATGAGGTGTTTAACGTCCTATAACGCCTATATGATTATGAGAGACGCCGTAGTAGAGGGCTCCGAAATTTAGACCTTTTCGGGCTCTTTATCCTGCACCGATATTTGAGCAGACAGGCCTACATCATTGTCGCCTTCATCGAAAATGCACCCGCCGTAGCCGGGATTTGATCCCGCGACTTGCGGGTCAGCAGCAGCGTACCTTACCCACTACGGCGAGTGCTTGAGGTAGCCTACGAATTCGTCAGTGCTCTTTCTAGTGAAGTGTTATGCCCGGGGTGGTCGTCGTCCCATACACGTACTCCTGGAATGGTACTGAAAAGGCATAGGCAACATCGAACGCTTAAAACTTGTTTAATCCTACTCAGATGGGGGCGGCAGCCGAACTACCGTGGGTAAGTGAGCGGCGGGTCGTTATGTCGAGCGGGCGACGGAGGAGGAAGAGGACTCTTAATGAACACAGTTGTTTGCAACCAGGCGTCCACCGCTTCATTGTGTACCGCTCGAAGGCTCGCTCGAATACCCAGGGGTGGTGTGGGACACAACATAAATAAAGTATAACGGTTGCTTCGGCTTGTTCTTCTTGTTAGATAAGATGCACAAGGTGCAATCAGTTTTTCTTAACTAAACTGTAGCATTCATTTATACCATGGTCACGTTTCTTTCCTAAAAACATAATGGCAGCAGTTGGCCACTACTCTTGGTAAAACAAGTACAGCCCCATTCTCGTTGTCTTTCGGTATTAACTTCATTTCCTTTAGTAAGGTGTGTGAAGAAGAAGATGTGCCTGCAGCGAGCAGCATCGCCAACGCCTGGCTCTCTCGTCTCGTGCTTCGGCTCGCTGCTGTGCCGGTCTCTGCTGGACGGTTCATCACGCTGTCTTGCCGTTGTCATTACCTACTAATAAACCACTTCATATTTGGTGGAGGGTGCTGTTTATCCCCGTCGCTACACCCTGGAACGCTACAGCTCGTCATGACTAATAACGCCAACCCATCGGCGTCGTCACCCCAGTTCAACTGTCCCGGCCATCCTAGGCTACGGGACCCGAAAGTCTTCAGCGGTGCGGATGGGACCGACGTGGAAGACTGGCTCGACCACTACGAGCTGGTGAGCGCCAATAACAAGTGGGATGAAGCCGACAAGCTGGGCCACGTCATATTTTATCTCACTCATATTTTATCTCACTCATTTTATCTCACTCATATCCCACGTCATATTTTATGTCCCACATGGAGCGTCTTCAAGACGTCATGTGCCGAAGTGTTCGGTCGGCCGGCTGTCCGCAAGCAGGGAGCAGAACAGCGCTTGCGCGTCCGCTCTCAGCAGACTGGAGAAAATTTTACCAGCTATATTGAGGATGTCATAGACATTTGTCAACGCGGGAATGACACCATGCCCGAGTCGGACAAGGTCAAACACATCCTGAAGGGCATCGACGACGGCGCTTTTCAAATGCTCTTGGCTAGGAATCCAAGCACAGTTTCTGAAGTCGTCAGCTTGTGTCAGAGCTACGACGAGTTGAAGAAGCAACGCACTCTGACTCGGCAGCCTCCGCCTAGTGGTGAGTCGCTGTCCAGTTTCGATTCCATGCCTGACAATTGACAATTGCTTCAGCAAGTCCGACTCTTCGTCCGTGAAGAAGTCGCTGGCCAACTTTCCCTAGTGCCCTTCACTCCCAAGACCACCACCCGTCTACCTGCCCCGCTTCGCACTGCTATATCGGAAGAGGTTGCACAAGCTGTTCCTCTTGCGCACTACGAGCCACCTCTATCTAGCCATGGTCACTGTCCGGGTGGCGCACAGCCGGTAAACGCTCCTGTCGCCTATCCGCCAGCAGTTCAGCCTGTGGCCGCACCCCTAACCTATGCAGCGCAGCCTGTGGCTCCTACTGTCGCCTTTTCGCAAGAGATGCACCCCGTAGCCGCGCCGCTCACATATGCAGACGCTGTACGTAGGCTCCCGCAACCACCCTACACCACGCGCTCACAGCCCGCACCCCGCACACCCGGCTGCTTATATTGCACCTTGGGCGGCAGCACCAGTCGCCAATCCCTGGAGGACGCCCGATAACCGACCGATTTGCTACGCCTGCTTCACTCCCGGACACGTTGCTCGCTACTGCTGCCGTCGACCTCAGACGTTCGGCAACTATGCCCGGTCGTCGCATCCCGGCAGCCAACCCTTCGTTGAATACAAGCCGGTCTCGCCACCTCGCTATGCCCCTACTGACCACCTTGACTTCCAGCCGCAACGCACACCCTCTCCTCGTCGGCGATCGCCCTCCCCCGTGTGTCGCCGGCCCGGACCCTCCGACCAGGAAAACTAAGCACCGCAGTTCAAGAGGCAAGAACAGTGCCGTTTTCGAATTGTCTAAGCCCTCGCTCCTCCCCTGCTAACGTGGTCGCAGTAACTGTTGAAGGTTATTGTGCTTTCGCCCTTGTGGACACCGGCGACGCTGTTTCTGTTGTTGCCGCTAATCTCTGCCGTTTATTACGCAAAGTAACGACGCCGCTTTCGGGACTGTCGCTTCACACCGCAAGCACACAGCAAGTAACGCGTCTCGCAGCCTGCACTGCAAGAGTCTCCATCGAAGGCATTCTTTACATCGTGCAGTTTATTGTTCTCCCTGTCGGTTCGCATGACGTAATCCTCGGGTGGGACTTCCTATCCCACCATAATGCCATCATAGACTGCGCACGCGCCGAAGTTGAGTTCTCACCCTTGTGTGGTGTCCCATTACTGGACGCTCTTCATCAGCCGCCGAAGTTGCTCGTTCATGAAGATACCGATATTCCGCCTAGAAATTTCGCACTTGTTCTCGTTCATGCAACGCCTACACTGACGCTACAGTCCTTTTCATGCCTTCCGATATCTTCAAATGTCGTCGAGCTTTGCCGCTGCCTTTCACAACTGACCTTGCCACCGGAAGAAGCAACATGTTCGTAAGCAATCCGCTTTCCACACCTGTCACTTTGCTTACGGGGGATTGTCTCGGCCGCGTGCAGGATCTCGACCCTTCGTTTTTGGTTGATGTCCCGGATGACTACTGCGACCACCCAAAAGCACTGTCGGCACTCGGGGAGTCGTCCAATGATACGTTTTCCAGCGCCATCGCCGACACTCTCACTCCCACCGAACATGCCGACCTGCTGGATCTTCCGCATGAGTTCAAGAGTTCTTTCGATGTCTCGCAACCTCAACAGGGCTGCACATCACAAGTCAAACATCATATTGACACCGGCCTACACCAGCCACTGCGTCAAAGACCATACCGTGTCTCCACTGAAGAGCGCCGCGTCATCAACGATCAAGTGGAAGATATGCTTCGTTGAGACGTCATTCGACCATATCCCAGTCCCTGGGCGTCTCCCGTCGTCCTGGTGCGTAAGAAAGACGGATCTATCCGATTTTGCGTGGACTATCGTCATTTGAATAAGATAACCCACAAGGACGTCTATCCTCTGCCGCGCATTGATGACGCCATTGACACCCTTCACGGAGCGGAATTTTTCTCGTCGCTATATTTGCGGTCTGGCTACTGGCAGGTCCCAATGGCTGAAGCCGATCGCCAAAAAACGGCATTTATTACACCAGACGGATTATATGAATTTAACGTCATGCCCTTTGGGCTTTGTAACGTGCCTGACACGTTTGATTGTCTTATGGATAATACGCTACGTGGCCTCAAATGGAATATGTGCCTCTGTTACCTCGACGATGTCGTGGTTTTCTTCCATGACTTTCCTACGCACCTCCTTCGCCTCAGGCACGTCTTGACTTGTCTGACCAACGCTGGTCTGCAGCTTAACCTGAAAAAATGCCGCTTCGCTGCACGCGAGCTCGTCCTTCTAGGCCACATCGTGTCCAAGCACGGCGTATTACCTGACCCAGCAAGACTTCGAGCAATCGCAGAATTGCCCTAGCCGACGACCATGAAAGAACTTCGCAGTTTTGTAGGCCCATGCTCCTATTTCCGGCGCTTTGTTCGCAATTTTGCATCTATCATGTCACCGTTAACCCAGCTTCTCCACGGTGACGTGAACCTCTCCTCCTGGTCCCCTGCATGTGACGTTGCCTTCACTACTCTGCGCCGTCTGCTCACCTCCCCACCTATTCTTCGCCACTTCGACCCGACGGCTCCTACCGAAGTACACACCGACGCCAGCGGCGTCGGGCTAGGCGCGGTCCTCGCTCAACGAAAGCCCGGCTATTCAGAATACGTTGTAGCCTACGCTAGCCGCACTCTGACGAAAGCCGAAACTAATTACAGCGTGACAAAAAAAGAGTGTTTGGCTCTGGTGTGGGCGCTTGGAAAGTTCAGGCCGTACTTATACGGCCGCCCGTTCGATCTAGTAACTGATCACCACGCGCTTTGCTGGCTCTCCACGCTAAAAGACCCTTCTGGCCGCCTTGCGCGATGGGCACTCCGCATCCAGGAGTACGACATTCGCGTCGTATACCACTGCGGACGCAAACACTCTGACGCTGATGCCCTGTCCCACTCGCCTTTACCACCAGATCAGACGTGCGGAAACACTTGCCTCCAGACCTTG